ATGGTCAATTACCATGTTTGTGTCTTTTTTTATAGGAGATATATATATATAAAACAAACACCTATAAAAGGATGGCAATCTGATTCCCATAGTTTCTCCATTATTAGATTCAAATGTTCAGTTCAACAACAACAACAACAAAAATCACAATGCATACAAAAAAACAAGATAATATGACCCATTCAAAGAAAAAGTAAATCAATAAAAAGTATCCCTGAAAAAAAAAACACCTTGAGAAAAGATCTACTAGACAAAGACTTTAAAACAGCTGTCTAACAGAAAATCTGGTGGTGGTTTTTAGTTTTGCTGTTCTCTTTTCCTTCATGAAGTAGCAGACACAGAAAGGCAGATCTTTCTGAATACCCTGATGGGCAAGGCTAGCACTCTCAAGTTTGAGCCCAATGACACCTTTGAGAATGTCAAAGCTAAAATTTAAGACAAGGAGGGCATCTTTCCAGGCAAACAGCACCTGCTTTTGGGGGCATGTTTGGAGGAAGACGCCACTCTGTCTGACTGTAATATCCAGAAACAGCCCGCCCTGCACTTGGTGCTTTGCCTGTGGGGTGGAATCTATGAACCTTTTCTGCAAACTCCCCTGAAATACAATGGCTATATGACCCAAATGTTATGCTTGCCTGCAACCCAGTGCTATCAACTGCTTTAAGAACACACCAACAAACTGTGACTCAAGGAGATGCTCAAAAGAGGCCTTTCCACTTGGTCCTAGAGGTAGGAAGCCTTCAGAACTTATTCTATGAGAACAGCATTACTGTGATGCCAACAACAAAAAAAGACACTACAAGAAAAGAAAGCTACAGAATAGTATCCATTATGAACCTTGATGCAAAAATCTGCAACTAATTACAGCAAACAGAAATCAGAAAGATTATCCACCATGCACAAGTGAGATTTATTCCCAGAATGCAAGGGTGGCTCAACATATGAAAATCCATCTATGTAATCTGCCATATCAACAGCATGAAGGGTAAATCCACTTGATCATTTCAATTGAGCATTTGTCAGGATTCAACACTCTTGCATAGTAAATACTCAACAAACCAGGAACAGAAGGTAAGTACCTTAAGATAATACATGCCATAGATGAAATACCTACAGCAAACATCCTATTCAGTGGTTTAAATCCAAAAGCTTTTCTTCTAAGGTCAGGAATAATGGAAGAATGCCCACTTTTACCATTTCTATTCAACATAGTACTGGAAGTTTAGTCAGAGAAACTAGAGAAGAACTAAAAGGCAGGTCAGTCCTAACTGGTTTGGCTCAGTTGATAGAGTGTCGGCCTGCGGACTGAAAGGTCCCAGGTTCGATTCCGGTCAAGGGCATGTACCCTGGTTGTGGGCACATCTCCAGAGGGGAGTGTGCAGGAGGCAGCTGATTGATGTCTCTCTCATTGATGTTTCTAACTCTCTATCCTTCCCCCTTCCTCTCTGTAAAAAATCAATAAAATATGTTTTTAAAAAGGCAGCCCAATGGGTTATGAAGATATAAAATTATCACTGTTTGCAAATAATAAAATCTTATATTTAAAAAACCCACCCTAGGCAGTTTGGCTCAGTGGATAGAGTGTCAGCCTACGGACCAAAAGGATCCCGGGTTCATTTCTGGTCAAGGGCACATACCTTGGTTGCAGGCTCATCCCTGGCCCAGGCCCTGGTCAGGGCTCCTGCAGGAGGCAACCAATTGATGTATTTCTCTCACATTGATATTTCTATATGTCTCTCTATCTTTTCCTCTCTCTTCCACTCTCCCTAAAAAACCAATGGAAAAATATCCTCAGATGAGGATTAAAAAAAAGAGAGAGAGAAAATCCTAAAGACTGTGTGTGCTTGCATGCACGCGCACGCACACACACACACACACAAAAAAAAAAAAAACAACCTGTTAGAACAAATAAATTAATGCAGCAAAGTAGCAGAATACGAAGTCAATATCAAAAATCAGTTGCTTTTTCATAGTGTATTACATTTACCCTGTAAATGCACATTTTTATAAATGTCTAAATATATGCTACAAGAGGCGTTGTGCACGAAATTCATGCAAGGGGCTTGGCCCTTGCAGCCCCTGCTGCTGCCTTGGCTCTTGCATACCCCAGCATCATCCAGAAGGTTGTTCAGATGGTCGTCCAGTAGGTCATTTAGCTGGTCAATTAGCATATTAGTTTTTTATTATATAGGATTAAAAGAGACCAAGAGAAAAAAGGCTACTACTATTAAGTGCGCAGTACTTGTTTTTGAGACGTTCACTCCTTTATAGCTACCTCAAAACTCATGTTTTCCAACAAAAGGATTTTGATCAATATTATAGTCCAGGCTAACCAGGTCAATGTTCACCAGGTAACACTTTACAGAGTTATATCCATGAACAATATCTTTGGTGGGTAAACCTACCTACCAAGTCTATAAGCCCTCCTTCAACTCTGAGAGTTGGCCATTTTAAATAGGATACAAGTTGTTGTTAAAGTAATGTCATCAAGATTACTACAAGTTTAATGCTAATGATAGGCTTATTCTTGCATGTAGTATTATAAAAGTTTCCTTTCCTTCACTTTTAATTTCTAGTCATTACACATCTTCTCAGTCTGCATAAAAAGCCCAAGAGTTGATTGGCTGGAAGTACAACTTGTTACACAGAAAGCAAGATGAACTCAACATTATGGGAATGCTGAAGAAGAGAAGCAAACCGAAATAGTAACATTTACTGTATTCCTCTAAGGAGCAACTTACCCCTCATTACAAATATAGTGAGCTTGATAACCAAACTTGTCAGCTTCATTTACATAAGATATATAGACTATACGGCCATTGAGGGGCTCTCCTAGCTGCGGACATGTCTTT